AGCTGAGAGACATGCGAAGCGAAGGACCCGGATGGTGTAGTGGTGAAGTGCGTTGCTCCCCGGTAAGGACAACAGCGCGTGTTCGTTCTCCATTGCATACACCTGTGGTCCAGACTTTTGCAAATATCTCAGCATTTCATACGAGTTATATTTCGCAACATAACCTGCCATTAAGAAGAAACAGGCAGTAAATAAAAGAGTTAAGATTATGTGGTGAACGTTAAGAAACTCATAGAAAAAACTCCAAAGTTCTTTTGACAAGGATGCTGCACATGTCGTAATACGGATAAATTCTAAACGCTTACTATTATTCTATTAACTGATTGTCATCCTCTCAAACTAAATAGTAATAACTACATTTGCTGGCCCAGCTATAGCCAGAATATTCCCATACTTGGTACTTGAATGGCCCATCCTCACTGGTTGTGCAGGCCCCAGCATAATCACCATTTTTCGGAGTTTTGATGGTTTAGTCATTGTGGTTCCCTCGAGTTCCGAGGTCAGCCTAGCCAAGATCTTCCCCAGGTCGTCACCACCACAGGCAGTCGCCGCTCTTGTGGATCAGAGGGAGATTTGCCAGCACGGGACTAGTTTGATACCACGACGGTGGTGGATCCTGGTATTGGTTTATTCTTAGCTGGGTTTCCTGATGGAAACGCCGGACTTCTTCAAGCCTGGGAGACCATGCTGTGGGACGAAATCCCCCGCTGCACATCGCAGCCCAACACCCAGGAACACCTCCCAGGCACGACGAGGCGGTAAATCGTTAGGAAGAAATATATAATAAATTTATGTGGGAGGACGAATACCCCTATATAAATGTTAAACAGAATCTAACTCGGAACACAGTGAAGAATAGAGGCGAAGAAAACAACGGAAACGACTCTATCCAGACCCAAAAGCTAATCTAAACAGTTGCCATAATTCTTCACTACCTCTGCGAATTCACAGATTCGCGTTCAGGGTTATATTGTTCACTTTGTAAGACTTACCCTTAACAGAACTTGGAAGATAACATGCAAACCGTGTAAACAAAAAGCGATAGAACTATTCAATCATGGGATGACAGAAACACAAAGAAAAATTGGGGGACCAAGCAAAATAAAGCCCTGTGGTGCAGGATGTAATACCTAAGCCCTGGAAAGGGAAATCGTGGTTCGATCTGGCCCGGGGTCCAAGTTTTTCGAATACCTCAGCATAACTGTAATTAAATGTGCATAGTTAACATAGAAATAGAGTTGAAATAAGTAACTTCGAGGTTCTAAATGAATAAACCTACTACCTGTTATCGATCTTCCACTTCTCGAACTTCGCTTTTTGCTCAGCATACTGTCGTTCCATGGATGAAATGACCTCAGCATTACTCTGAAACAAAACAGCGTCTTAGCTTAACAAGTGTAAACTGCGAGTTCGTATCCAGTACTAAGAACTCCTAAATACATCAACGACTTTGTACCAGAAATAACCTGTGGGGTAGTCATATTCGTTGACGACGTCGGATTTAAATGCAAAGTAGGTAGATAACAAGGTACTACGAGAAAATAGTGCCAAAGGTGTCACCAGATGAACCTACAGTAACAACTGGCTCTGAATCGCTCCAAAATGGCAGTGGCGCTCCGATGCCGGTTCGATTGGAGCACTCAATAAGCAGCATAGTCGAACTTCCAGAAATAGCTTACCTGGTTATCTGGACGGCCCGTCCATAGTGGTTGTTTGGGCCTCAGCATAGTTTCCATTTTTTTCGGAGTTTTGGTAGTTTAGCCATTGCGGTTCTCTGGAATCCGTATGTCTGTCAGCGAGGCCAAAGTCTGCCCCAACTCGTCACTACCACAGGCAGTCGCGGCACTTGTGGATCAGAGAAAGACTTACCACCATGCTGCTAGTTTGATTCCAAGATCGGTGACGGATTCTGGTATTGGCTTACTCTTACCTGGGCTTCCTGATGGAAACGCTGGACTCTTTCTCAGCTTTGGAGACACTGTCAGGAGGACAAATCTACCCGATGTACATCACAGCTCGACACCCAGGAACACCTCCCACCCACGATGAGCCGGTTAATCGTTGAGAGGTGCAGGAGTATCCGTCAGCGGAAACGTTCTGCTGTGAATTCAATTATTATGGTGTAGAAATTCTACGGCCAGTGCCACTTTGAGGAAAAACTGGCTTGGATAAAAACGGCTGTGTTATTGGAATTCTAGGCTATGCTGATGAAAATAGCTCCTAAACGATTTATGTGATTGTGATTGACCATTGTAATTTTCTCGATGGAACATCTTCACGGGATGTTTGAAAAATAGACGTGCATCGAATTGAAAGAGCGGACTTATATCCGAACTTCGGACCCCTGTCAGCTCGAATATGCGTGCAATCACCAGACAGGTTGCTTTGGCACATTAGCAACGACGTGACCTCTATAGGTGACATGTGCAATGGCGCTGGGTGTCATAGCGATTTCGGTGGAAAATTAAGCGTTGTGGAGAATGTATCAATAAGGTCTTTTACTTTTTAAGCTACTGAGAATAAATCGCTGAGGTCTAGGACAAGAATTGAGGATGTTTGTCCACAACTATGAAAAGTTGTGTACAGCTTCTGTGGGTCGCGCAAAATTTCTCAAAAATAAACATTAGATATGCCAAGAGTGGCAGCGGCTGTTGAACTACAAGGCGTAGTATTTCTTCCCGCGCGCTTCTTCCATAGAGTTCAGTGAAGTTGATGGGCCTGACATTCCTATGCGGGAGTGCGACCGAAGGAATATCTACAGGTGCTTCTGGATGAATGCGACTCAAAAAATCATTGCGTGGCTATCGGAGGACTCAGGAAAAAAACTCGTTTTTCCAGTCTGCAAATACTAATACGTCAAATGGAAAACGTCCTGGAATCCGCTCAATTCAGGATGAAGACGTGCTATTCAAGTACAACTTATTAGGTATCCGAGCCACCTTGCAAACCGGCAAGTCAATGACGATCGGCTCTAGAGCACTCGGAGCATGGATTACCACCTCAGTAATACCGTTTTCGTCAAAACACTGGGCAATTAGGGTTACGAATATGAGAATGCCGTCTCATACCGGTTAACCCCACATTGCCAAACTCAGCTTTCTTCTTTTCTTATAATATTAAACATAACAGGATTGGGTGTTTCAAAGTGAGCATTATAACACAGTGTGATCCTATAGTTGAAATATGAGATGTCCTATAGTTGAAATATGAGAAGTTAAAAACAATTTCCTATTTCCATAAGCACACTATGGTGTAGATAGCACACTGATAGTTATATCGGTCATCACGAGCATGGTGTTAATTCGATTCCGCTTCGGGGTAACTAGGACTCCCTTCTCTCCGGGGTCGGGAGATTAGTATCGGACTTGTCCGTGAAAAAATCGTTCTCTGCACTCCAGTTGAGAACGCTCCAGCCCGATATCCCAGGAGTCCAGGAAGAATCGACTCGATCAGCATTCTATAACGTTCGAGGCGAAATGAAAATCCTCGAGCAGTAGCCGAAGCCACACGAAAAAGTTGGAAGATCTTCGTGGACGACGGATGCGAGGGGACGAATCGAATGTGACAACTGCTGGGATTCGCATAGTAGACGTGAAAGCGGGTCGTATAAAAGTTGAAAAAACAACTACACTAACTCGTCTTTTAAAATGCATTGGCCAGTGATTGGTGAGACGGCTTCACATGGATCCTTATTACGCCTTTATTCAGAATTAAAACATAATAACCTATATAGTGAAACTTAAGAACTTAACACCGGGGCCAAACAAACTAGAATTGGGGTTGAACGAACAGATTAGACCACCGGCCGAAGCCTTATTGGAGACCTTTCTTATCCACTATATTATTACGTCGTGAACCTGTAAACCCCTTTCAGGACAATGTACTGCATTTACTGATGCGGCGATCCGACATTTGCGACATCAGCTTCGACGGCCAGTAATGGACAGTGTCGATGGGCATAATGTTGAACCTGCTCGTCGATGGAGGTGTCAACGGCCTCCTGGATTATGGAGGTGGGTTTGGTCCGTAATAAGATCTAACGAGCCACTCAAAACTAGAAATTTATTGACATCTTTTCGTTACGCCATATATTCCGAAGAAGCACAGAATCAGTAGTGAGATGTCTAACTTTCCTTTATCATTTGACTGATAACGAAAAACCTTCGAAAACAATATAAGTGAAATTTTCAAGACTAGGTTGAAGTTCGATCATTTTGTACTTATGAATTCATACCGGACAGTCATATTGCCATCGTTCTCTGCATGAAATCAATCTGTAACTGTATGCCACTTCAAGTCTTATGTCAAGTGCTATTCCATCTTTACAGTAAATGCTTCCAGTTATTTTGAAGATTTGTCGCCGAAGAAAGAGGAACGACGACAATGAATCAGAAAATGTAAAACGTGTGAGTACATGCTTCATTTCGCACAGAACAGATATCCTACTAGGACATCAGCAGCACGTCGACCCATTACTTAATAGATGTACTCGAAGATCAAGCCCATACGAAAAACAGGCCACAGTCCTAAGTTTCAACGGCGCTTGTATTGCTTGTTATTCGACGTTAGGAAGCTTGGTAGTCATGTGAGTGACCACTTCGAAAGTAAGTGATTCCCATGCAATATTGCGTTCGTGCGGTAAGAAAACGAGCTTTAACCTTCGTTTTCAAAATATGCGATGATCCCCTCACTCTCAGGGGATGCGTGCAGTGCAGCGGTGCGGTCGAAAGCGCCCCGCAACACTTGGGATCGATTCCAGCGCCCCAGACTCACCAAGCCCTCCATCACTCCGGGGTCGGCGAATGTACCGGACTTGTCCCGGAGGATAGCAGAACAGGCTCGATATATCGGTAAGCCACCGCGAATCATTGTAAAGGCCAGAAATGCATTCAATCACCTCCAGCGGAGCTTGATGAAATCGAACGCACGGCGCATCCCTTAGCGATAGATCAACGCCGACAGCCTTACAGCCAGCCAACCATTCATTCTGAGCACGGGACAAGTAAGGTCTAAAAAATTTACTACTTGTTCTATATTCTCAGCAGTAGGATATTACAAAGAACGTCTGCTAGCTTCACAGGCGCATCGTTTTGCCGGCTTCCTGACGATGAATTTACCGATGTAACACAGATACGGGATAAAAGCACAAACGTTTCCATGCTAATCAGTTCCTGAGCAGTGCGCCATGAATTCCACGTCATTAAGCATCATCAGAGATGACTGAATGCATATCTGGCCTTTACAATAACTTGCGGTCGCCTACTTTGTAACGATTAATTTTTTCTAGGGACGATGAAATACAGGCCGCTCTGGGAGCTGTTGATCATGCAGCTGTAGATCCACGTGTACCTTTTCAAGGACGTGAACAAGAATAGGCTCACCATAAGAACAAGGGATGCAAAATTTGTCGTATTTTTAGCTGTTGAATGGCATAACACTTAATTACATAAATTGCCGCTCGATGGTCTCATCGAGAAAAAGATTTCTATGGTGGGGAACGAACGCGCTATTGTCCTTTCCGGGGAGTAACGCGTTCACCACCACACCATGCAGGTCCTTTGTTTCGCCTGTCTCTCAGCTATTTCTATCGATCTTTGCCACAGCAATCACCCGTCAGCGGGATTGATCTGGGGCGGCCAAATCGGCATAGAACCCAGTTAAGCTGCGGCTGTAGTTGAAATCCCGCTAACGGGTGATTACTGTGGCAAAGATCGATAGAAATAGCTGAGAGACAGGCGAAACAAAGGACCTGCATGGTGTGGTGGTGAACGCATTACTCCCCGGAAAGGACAATTGCGCGTTCGTTCCCCACCATAGACACCTGCGGTCCAGAGTTTTGCAAATATCTCAGCAACGTTGTGGTTGTATTTCGCTTAGTACCCTGCTGCGAAATTATGGTAGGCAGAAAATAAAAAGGTATAACAAAAAGATTTTTTTAAAATTATTAAGTGTGAAGGATAGCTTTCCAACGACAAGATATTCCACAGCATCTGTGTTGCACAAGATATCGCTTGAGTGCAAAAAGTATTGGAAAATAGTCTGCACGCAAGAATAAAACACAGTGAAGAAGACGGCTTCTATTGAAGTCATACCAGTCACGGTGCCAAGCAACAAAAATGGCTCCCGTTAGGATGACGTCGTTGCGGAATTGTTTAAACGTCACTGAGAAAGATGGAAGGAAGAAGGAAGCTCGAGAACAGAAACCTTAAATCTTTCGTTGTACAAGTCTTTCTGCGCTAACTCGTTGTTCCTAATCCACAAGAAGTAACTAAGTGCAAAGATCTACATGCTGCTTTCGAGATCTTTAGGAGAGTATCACTAAAAAATCATATTAGATCCGGCATTCCGTCTTACCATTGAAAGATTACACTTCGACACAAAGTTTGTATGAAAATCACCTATCAGTCTCTCTATAGAACGAGCACCGTCACAAATTAAGCTTCCATGCCGCAAAACTTTACTAAGCGAAGACCAATTTGGAAGTCAAATGGTTGTCTAGTAATCTATCTGTTGCTCGTTAAAAAGACACAAAAGCTTGGAAGGTGCGAAGTGAGTTTGGGATTTAAGCAAGCGTTCCACAGCTTCTGAAAACGAAGTCTTTAAAATGTTTTAGAATACTGGAGAGTACACTGAAACAGGGAAATCAAACAGAGCTACGAGGAACCTCTCTAAGCGAGAAGTAAGTATTCAAGGCAGAAAATTAAAGCCTCTTTCTAAAACGTTCCTACAAGTTCTCGTTCTCTACAACAGTGTAAGAAATGATAATAGTTAATAACCAATCTATTTTGTATTACCTTGGTACAAACCAATTCCTGGTTTTAAACGACAAATTTGAAACACCATAACCCGACTCACAGATAGTTTCACTACTCCAAACAGTGGTCATTAAAATTCACGCTCCTTCTGAAACAGTAGCAAAGAGTTTACTTACCCCGGTAACAAAAAATTTAGGTGCTTCAGCTGGAAGCATTCAAATTCAATGGCCTTGGATGTGCAAGGTGATCTGCACGTCGGTATGAGAAAGAAACCTTTTGTGCTGACCAGTACTGAATGTTTTGTTATAAATTTCGGATGCATGACGTCTATTCCATGACATCATTTTTCTGATCTTCAGGATGGAGAAGATCGTGGTGGATTAATACAGCTCAAGCGAACCGTACAGTTATCATAGCTTTGGATGCCATTCCGGCTTTGCGAGCTGTTTGGAGCTTCATCCCAGTCTAACTACTACGCCGAATGCCGTCGGCTTTCGTAAAGGAACAATTTCTCATCACACCCTTCATTCTGTCTTAGTTTTTGTGGATGCCGCGATGGATATGAAGTACTAAAGACGCTCTCCTCGGGTCAACGTTAACATCCAGGGTGTCATTGGTGACGTTACAAAAAATATGAACTTCATGGTATAGCTTCGAAAGATACAATCTTCTCCATATAACCTCTATAAGTCCATCTCGTTTTCTCCATGATTTGTGGCAAAGACGGCGAAGGTTGTCAAGCAGCTGCTCGTCCACATGTTTTCAACATTAATCGTCCCATTTGGGCGGTAGTCGTTCGAAGGGAAGCTCACGCTGACAAGGCCATCAACGTCGCCACTCCACTCTCCCATGTTCCGAGAACTTTTATCTTGCATCATTAGGTCGTCAGTGGATAAATCATTCGCCTTAAGTAGAGATGTCACACAAAAAATTCTGGTCTAGGATCAAGACATGCTTTCGAGTAGCCTGATGATCTTTTCCAGAGCGGATAAGTAGCTTATTTTTCGAAGCCGCTCCCATTTACCTCTATGCACTTCCCAGCTACTCGACTGCAAGCTTTTGCCGAATGCACCCGCATGATGCAATACACTTAAAAGAAACCACCTGTCCTCACATAGTGCAAAATCGGAGCAACAGAAATAGAAGTCTATTTCTCAAATCTACTAGAGTTTTAGAGCAATTATGTGATGCCTTTGGTCCGCAGTTGACCCCATGTCAGCCCCAAATGGGGCTTCACGTAGCTTCATGATTGACCGCCTATGAATCGCGCACTAAGTTTGGTCTGCCACTCATAAACGATATTTTGATAAAATTTATTTAGAAAAAAAGGAAATCTTTGGCGAACAGGCAAATCAGAGAAAGCCAGCGCATAAACACTTCGGAGGTACTCACTTGGTTTTAATGAATTCATAGAGCTACTGAGTATCAAAAAAAACTACAGAAGTTTGAAAGAGAAGAAGGATCCAGGAGGAACAAATACTTGGAGAAAAGATTTCAGCAGAGTGAAGAGTTGGTTGTCCATCAAAATTTTTTCATTGTTTGTAACAACGATTATGATATCCATTGTAAATCTTTCAGGAACGCTTGCGGCAAATCATCTGAAGTCTCTTCCAGAGGATGGAGGTAACATGGCGCTTTGTTCAATAGGCTCCCCATTTCGTACATACCAGCCACAAATCTGTCATCTCTCAAAAAAAAATGAAGTCCAACTCAAAATTCGGAGAAAAAATTGGAAGACTTCAGGCTTAGTGGGATTTAGGAGAATTTTCTTTAACCATTAAACATTGTTTCAGTCGCCGTGAAGAGTCTGGTGATATGTCGGGAAAAAGCTTCGGTGTGTTCCCATACGTTGGTACTTTGCATGCTCTACAAAGTGTAAACAACTACGTTTTATCTCTTTGCCTATACCATAATATACTTTCGCTTCGAGAGGATAAAATCACTACTGGTAGAGGTGTGGTGAACATGTCATTGATTTAGACGACATCAGTTGGAGTAATCAGTAACTGTTTTGAACGTTAGTAATATAAATTTTGTCTGGTTACTTGACTTCTTTCGCTTTTTTTTGACCATCAAGCTGAAATCTGAATTCGTTAGGACGTCTTCGGAACCTCAGCGGAAGAGTATCTCGTAGAGTCATGACCTTTGTCAACAGACCTGTAAGGGAGCTAGCACTCAAGAGATTTATTAGCAAAATTGAGGCCAGACGACGAGCGGAAATGGATAATTCGTGGACGGTGGGCTTACATTAGAGGGTGCATAATCAGTTGGTTTGCGCACTTCTCAGTATTTAATTGTTTTCACTGCTTTAGAAAAGGGAATTACGCCCTGGCCAAGTGACATATCCACGTTCGAGAAGCAGATCGTTAGAAAGGTTGAGAAACGGACCAGATCAGGTGACTGCTTGAATACTGGGCGTAGTAAAGGATGAATCTTTAACATTGTTAGCCATCGCAAGGCCTGGGCTCATGTTGTATCACCCGTCTCAACACATGTAGTGTTCTATAGTCTTTAAGTTTTCTCAAATTCAACTTAGTAACTGGAGCTACTTTAAGCAAATATTCTATCTTTTTTATTGCGCTAAACTATGTCAGTTTTGCTCAATCACTATCACAGCGGTTCTAGTTCTTTTCCATTTTAGTTCTGTGGCATCGAAATGGGGGAATTGACGAGCAACACTGTATGTTCCTTCTCATTCAACGAAATTTCAGGTATTCGCTAATGCTCTAAATCCAAAAATTACTTCACAGCTTCCATCAACAGTACGTTTTGTTCTTTCATACAGTTTTATAAGCATGTTACCTCCATTCAGCAAGCTTGTGATGAAAATGGGCTAGTGATAAACACTCGACATTAGGGCCACGGCTTGTGTCCACATAATGTTGGTCACGTAATACTCATGGATTGTTCCTCTAGATGAACATCAATTCTAAAAACGAGGTCGTAGTTTCGAAGTACCGATTCACATAGGCTATCATTCTCCTAGTGTGCAGTGAATACGAAGCAGTTTCACTTTCAACTGAATTCATTAGAGTGTGGCCGAAGAAATATCTTCAAATAAAGAGAAATCTGCTGAACTCGTTACCGGAAACAATGACAATGACGGTGCAGTAATCGTGAACGGCCTGCCATTCTGGATAACAGCAGAGGACCCGCAGCTGATTGACCGGGTTCGTTTTCCACATGCATTACGAACGAACTCAGATTCAATTGAGCTTAGCAATAGTAGAAATGTTTCAAACGAAGTTGGATCTTCTGCTTAGACTCGGTGTTTTCGTGTGAAATCTTGACTTGTCTTGCCAAAATATGCCGACAAAACGGTATTTGGCAAAATAAAAGAACATCTGGTTGGCTCAGGCTCTATGGCATTTAGGAAGACAGCGACACCGATGATGAGTTACCGTTAAACGCGGACATTGTCTTGGATGTACACCGAAGAAATCTTGAATTGGATAAAATGCCTGCAATTCCGTTGGTTTACCTTTCGGAACGTGTTCAAAAATTTGTTTTAAAATATGCCATAAATGTTGTTTTAAGAGTAGTTCTTGATCCTCTCGATGACCTTCGAAAACTTCAGAAAAGAGACAAGCTTTTCTTTACCAAAACGGTTTTATTTGGGAACTCCGTTCGCAGCATGATCAACCTAAGCGGTGAGCGAAAATTCGTTTCTACAGATAATTTCGCGGATTAGGCGAGAAGCAAAAAAAGTTTACTTCACCTCGATGTTGTTTTGTTCGAGTCTTCGTCTGAGATTCGAAACTCGGAGAGGTAAAAGGAGATCTTTTATGATGAAATTATTCACAAACACTACAATCCGCTCGATGAGTACAGCTCTAGAAACTTCTACAAAGTCACAAGTTCTTGGGACTACGAAGCCGACCACCGACCCATTGATTAGATTTCTTCTCGAAAACCCTGGACGGAAAACATGATGATCAAATGGTTTCTAAAGCTAGCAAAACCCATAGTACTACCCCTGTTCAAGAGTGACAAATGGAGGATTTATGGGTGCCAGCTTGAGTCAATCGACGATCAACGGGAAGAAGGTGGCAGGCGACAGGTGATTACTTTTAAGAGGGCCTACAAATCTTCGAAATCCAAAATTTCGATGTGGTCCGAAAAAAACACTGAGGAGAACGATTTTCAGTGCTGCGATTATTTTATCACGATTTGCGCTGGATGCTTTATTCGTCATCTTTCGGAAATAAATGTCGATGATAACCTGTTATCAGGAGACAAGGATGTGACACATCTCAGTCAAATTAAGCAAAACTGTGAACCCGTCTACTACCTTTAGGTAGAAATAGGTCATATTTTGAACGGCTAACCTTCATCCTTATCCCTTACGTCTTATAGCGGAATTTCGTGAAGTCTTTTTTTGGTTGATATCAATTGTAAACATTGTTTTAGATACGACATCGATGAAAATTTCTAGGAAACAAGGCAAAATCTCAACATTATCGTTCAACCAGCCTGATACAAGGTTTCTATATTTGGTACTGTTTACTTTTTAAAATGTGTGTTATCGTAAATGTGGAAGGAATCACATGAAAATTTCAGCGAGAGAGATTCTGGGTGTTAACAGAGGATCCGTACACGCCGACCTGTATAGCACGACCAGAAGTTCATGGTCGACGTAAAGGATCGTTGACGGAAAGTACAAACAAAAGACAGAAAGGCCTTGTTCAACCAGAAGAGGAAGGTCGCAACAGCTCTAATAACGAGGAGACAGTTGGAGTTCAATAGAGTGGGAAGAAATGGAGAAGGGAATGGACAAACAGGATTCGATGGCTAGCTATAGATGCCCTATTCTATTAATACGTTCGTAACATTAGTCGATTTACATTCTATATCAATTAAAACATTAACCACTTTTTGTGTCGGCGTTTAAAAAATTTGGATATTTTCTTGAGAACAGAACTTTCTATGGTAATGAACGATGACTATGAAAAATCTGGAATAATTCTAGTGATTAATCTTAGGTAAGCTTACTCGAAGATCCTTGACTTTTGAAGGGTATCATTTGCAATCTCTTGACAGCTACAGCTGAGGCTTATAAGTAATAAGTCACTCGAGAAAGCCTTGCTGTCATCAATGTGTCTATCTTATTTGCAAATTTGGAAGACCAGCGTAATCGGCTATTTCGAGCGGCTGTAATTCACGCTCGAATGAGGCAAGCTCACTCGGCGGCGCTCTTTTATACAGGACGGTTGCTCTTCGTATGACTCCGTTGATGTGAACCAATCTTGTTAAGCTGAAGCGAGGATTGTGTAAGTTGTAGCTGCTGATGGTGTTGTTGTTCGATGGCTGACGTTTCGGCGATTTCGCCCTCAGAGTTGTGCTGTTAGAGTCCTACTCGTAACAGCACCAGCTCAACAAAATCAGTTCACAAGAACGTATAAGGGATAAAAGCGCCATGAATTCGACTTAGCTAAATATCGTTGAAGGTGATTGAATGCATATTTGGGGTCTATAATGACTCACGGTAGCCTACCGATGCATCGAGCCAGTGCTGCTATCCTACTAGACAAGCCTGGTACCAATTTGCCGACCCCGGAGGGATGGAAGACTTGGTGGGCCATGAGCACGAGGATCGACTGCACGTGTGTGTCGTAGTGGCGCCTCCAAACACTGCGCCAGACGCCCCCTTATAAGATCTATAAAAAAGATCTGATTGTTTTGCTTCCATTCTTCACTTGCTTTGGACAAAAAGTCCCTCTGTAGTTCAAGTTGAGCACTGATTATGTCGTCCCATTATCTAAATGGTATTTGAGTTGTCTTGCCTCTGCTCAAGCTTTTTTCTATTAAGTAGTACTCTAAAGCTCTTCAGTTAATATTGACACTTGTATCTCGCATGAGAAATAATGATATTGGCGAAGATCACGTATGCAAAGCCAACTGCTATTATAGTAACTACGTCACTAGAAACTTCAATGATGACAATCGTTGCTGAGATATTTGCAAAACTCTAGACCGCAGGTGTCTATGGTGGGGAACGAACGCGCTATTATCCTTTCCGGGGAGTAACGCGTTCACCACCGCACCATGCGGGTCCTTTG